CTGGTGTGACGCTGCATGCAGGCTCACCCACGTGCTGCTTGCGATCGGCGCAAGGAGCTGCGGGGAAATAAAATGCAAGATGACTGGGTTGCTTGCTTTGTGAAACCTTCCGGCTCCGTCATGCCAAAACGCCGTCGGGCGCCCGGCACTCTGAAACCAGCACACGACTCTCAGCATCGCCGTTCTTCCCGTTTCTTCCCTTACGGACGCGGTTATAATAAAGGGCAGCTAAGCACAGGCATCTCCTTAGCATGCCGTCAGGCAGCCTTGCTGGAGGAAATTTTTTTTCCCCCCTGCAAGCTGCCAAGGTGGACTCCTTAGCTCCTGCGATAGACTGAATGAGACTGCAGTTCCCCCATCAGTTTCATAATACTGAGAAAGCATCCATTTACATCATTGTGTGCAGTGCAGGGCAGCAGCTGCCAGGAAATTTGAAACTATTTTGATTCCAGTTGACTAGAACAGCAGCAATTGAATTAGCTGGTTTCGCTATAGATAAACTGATGATCTGTGCATTTTATTTCTTTGACCAATGGGTAACTGCTGGAGCTACAGTAACCTCTGTGAGTAAGGAGACTGTTCAAGAAAATATATCTAATTTCTCGAGCTAGCTTATATATATATATATATATATACTGTCTAGAGAGAGACACTCACACCATTGTTTTGTGAAATGTAGCTGTAAACAAAATGTCTGTCTATGCTTGTAACTTGTGTTTTGCTTCCTAGAATTTCCTTTTATTATGCTGTAGACAAGCTTGCTTGACATAGCATGGTTATTTACCTATGAAATAGCATATCTATGCCTGATTTAAGTAATGAATTCTTTCAACGTCTAGTCATCAGAAAAGGCTGCCAACTGCTGTTAGGTTATATTTGCCCAGTCTCAGTTTTCTAGCCACTCACCCCCTTTCTATTTTAGCTTTTTCTCTCTCCATTTAATTATTTTTTCCTTTTTGGCTTTCTTGAAAGAAGCCACCTTCAATGCAAAGTAGAAATCGGTGTTACCTGAGAGTGTGTGTCCTTTCTTTGTTTGTTTGGTGATGGGTGTTTTTTTTCCCTGCTCATCTTCAGTGCGGTCCTTAAATTTTGTTGTTGCCTTTCTAGCCTTGTTTGTAATGCAGTCATATTGGGGGATGGGGTCGGACAGGATATGCCAGTAGCTGCAGCAAGACATGATGCTGTGGTGGTGGATGGGAATAAGGGAGGAGTTTCCCTTAAAGAGCTCAAGCTCCTCCAAGGTCTGGTACCCGAAATAGCTCTCTGAGCAAAGGGAAAGGCTTTGCACCTTTTGGGAGCAGGGGAGAGGGGGCAATCGGTGGTGGTTTACCGCAAGGAGTGCAGACCTGGGCAGTCGTGTGCATGGTGGTACTTAAAGTAATGGGGACAGGCTGCTGCTTTGGTGCCATGTGTGATTATTTTATTAATTGGGCAGTGACTTAGGTGATATTCCTGCAGGGTGCCGTGAAGGCGAGAACCCCGCTGACTTGTGCTCGCATACACCAGCGGCAGCAGTGATCCTTCCAGAGCAGGGCTGCAGGAAAGACCTTACATTTCTGCTGTGAAAGTGCTCATCTCTTGCCTGCGTGAAATATGGCTTGCAAGCACAGCAGAGAGGAGTACCTGTGTGCACTCTCCCTCCTCCTGCATGTCTCTCTGTGCCCCGTGTATGCGTGTATGTGCTCTGTGTGTGTACCTCTTCTGGAGCTGGCTGTGCGTGCCAGAGGGTAAAGTTTGCTTGGGATGAAGTTCAAGAGGAGAAGTAAATCAGAAACTTGCTGGGAGTTGCTCCCGGCCGTCGGCAGCGGCCATCGGCGGCAGATGGGGACACGCAGCAGGGCGTTGGGCATTCGCTGCCAGAAATAAGGCTGCCTCTGTTCCCCTTGTGTCGGTTCAGAAGCTAAGATAGCAATTAGCAGAAACGAGCCTGGCCCCTTGGCAGGGTCTGTGTGCAGTGCCTTGTCAGGGCTTGGCCTCCAGCACGCGTTGGCTGCGTCCCAGCCCCATGGTGAGCCAGGGGGGCAACGCTCCGGGCTTCCTTCCAAGGAGGCAAGGTGTGTGGGTTGGAGGGAGGCAAGGGGGGTCCCAGCTCCCAGGGTGTTACGTATCGCCTTCCTTCGGGATGCGGCCAGAGCATGCAGCCCAGGCAGTGAGTGGCATGGCCAAGCGCTGCCCCGTGGTGCTGGGGGCATGAGGTGATCCCAGCTGGGGCACCTCCGGATTGCAGGTCTGCATGGTGGGAGTCGCTGTAGGTGGAGCTGCGTCCAGCGAGAAGGGTTTACCTTAGCATCTGCAGTGATGGCTGCCTGTCAGCAGTTCTTCTCTTTTGAAAAAACCCCATCTTTGGACAAGTGCTGAGAGAGCAGCAAGCACTAGTGCCGCTGCATTAGAGCAGACCAGGGCTGCGGGGTGGGGAACTGCGGCCTTTTGCTGGCTTGGGCTGGTCCTGGTGCAGATGTACGGACGTTGCAGCCACACAGGATTGTCCTCATCTGCGAGTCCATCCTGGTGGAAATGTGTCCCAATGGCAACCTGGCACCTGTGCCATGGAGAGAGTGGGCTTGGGATGCACCCAAGCACTGCGTGGCAGAATTGTGTGCAAAGGGAACTGTTTGTCTGGGGCTTCGGGCACTTAGAAAAAGCACCATGCCTGGAAACACTCATCTGAGGACAGAGACCTCACTGTCTTCTTCAAAGTCTTCCTGTGCACCCACGCCTGTGTGTTGGAAACCCTGCCCTGAAGGCAGGCTGATGATACAGAAATGGACAGGGCGTCCATGCTCCTCACAGCTCCCTGGGACCTTGCAGCAGAGAAAAGGTCCCTGCTTTGTCCAGTCGCTGTCCTCAACAGCAACCAACTCATCGAGGTGGTACGTGACCCACTGACAGTTTATTATGAAGTGATGAAATCGACAGCATGGCGATATCTGGAGAACCTACTGGGGAAGAGGCTGTGGTTTGGCATGGTCTGAGTCTGTCACTTTGATCCTCCAGCACACACAATGTGCAGTATTTACCCGGTGGATAGATGTACTGGATAACGAGCTGGCAGGTGTGAGCTGCTGCTCCTCTTTACAAACCGTGGGCAGATAGATAGCCACGTTAGTGCAGTGCTGAGCTCGCATTGACTTATTCTCCCTTTCACCTGGAGCTCAGCCTGTCATTAACCACAGCCACATGGCTTCCTCCTCAGAAACAGCTTGTGGCCAGCCTGCTCAGAGTGGAGTCAGGGATTGGTTTGCAATGCAGCACCTAGAGATGCACCTCAAGTGTGGCAAAGCATCCAAATACAAGTTGGTGTCTGGTTTCAGAGCTGTTACCCCTGATATTTTTTGGAGTAGGTGTTTGGATCTGGCCCCTCCCTTGTTTGTTTTAAAACACTTTTATATTTCAGGCCATTTTTTTCAGAAAGGTGCACCAAATGCAGCTGTTGCTGTTTTTTTGTTTTGTTTTTTCAAAACGCTTGGTTCCTCCCTGGGCTGTAATATAAGGTGGCCAAGTATCTGTCATTGTGTCATCTGTGAGGTCCCTCTGAGGACAGCTGATTCTCTGTTAGCCCACAACAATGGGAGCCACTGGGTGCTGGGCTCTTGGAAAATGGGACTATCCGTTTTCACTCCTGCTTTGTTTACATTAGTTGGAAAAGAAGCATGAGGAGGAGAGAGGTAGCAAGCTTTTCATGCAGTGGTGAATTTGCTGCAACAGAAAACGTGAACTGCTCGGTATGTGTACATGACTGCAACATGACCTTCAGTTACCTGAGCTGTTAAAGGAAGAGAGTAGTGCCAGCAGAAGGTTGAATTGCTCATTAATTGCTTTGTAATTTAGCTAATTGGTTTGTCAAGGCTGTGGAATATACGGGGCGTGGCTGGTTATCTTCCCAGTGTTTCACTTTTACAAGTGAAAATGACCTAAACCCACTTTTTTTTAAATAAAACCAACACGTGTGGGGCATGCTGCAGATGGATGTCAGACCTCTGAATATCTGCTTTCTTTAGACTTTGTGCCTGGCCAGTGGCCTCAAACTGTTCATGGGCCACTGAGACCCTTTCTGAAGTGTAGCAGACATTTCTGGCATTCCCTCCCTGGCAGTGCACACTCCCAAAGTAGGGCTGCCCAAAAACTCCTGTGTAAAAGGACCAGCTCTGGATAACTGCAGCGTGAGAGCTTGCAGAAGTGAGGTAAATGGAACGGTATTTTCTCTGCAGGGGAGAGCGTAGTTGCTCTCTTAGGAAAGGGCTGGGAAGGGAGGTCAGGCTTTTCGCTTCTGCGTGTGGTAGATAAACCCGCGCTTTCTTTTCTTCTTTGCAGGTAGTGGCCATGGAAGCAGCACGTTGCTCCCTCATACCATCATCAATGAATTTCCAGAGTATGGCACTGTAGAGCCCAGCGGAGGCGCACCGAGGGCTTCATCGCCGTGCCAGGCAGAGCCTGTGACACGCAGTCCAGAAAGGCGGGACGGTCACCACCGGGTACCAGGCAGGCCACTTCCTCAGTGTGCGGCTCCTGCGGATGGTTCCAGACCTGATGCTGGGGCCGTGCAGCCGTGTGCCCTAGAAGAAGGTTTGCAACCTGCGGGTAACCTGCCAGAGATCATGAAAATCTCTCGGTGGCTGGAAGCAGCAAAGGTGGAAGAGAGAGCAAATACTTCTCTTGATTCAGAGACGCAAATGGAAAAAAAGAGCGTTACTGGCAGCCGAAATGTGCAGGCAGCCAGAGAACCAGTTCCAGCAGGCCAAGAAAAACCCTCAGACATGCCTCTTCCATCTGAACGAACAGCTGAGGGAAAAATGCGTTTGATTGTAGAGAAAGATCCGGCTGCAAGATGGACTGGAGAAAAGCAGTCTGAGTCCTTGCAAGCCATCAGTAATAAAGCCGAGGAGGTCCACGCAGCGCAGGAGACAAGCTGTCATAGACCATCTGTGACAAACCTGGAAGCAGCCAGCAGAGTGGAGGGGTGGGCGCGTTTTGAGGAGTTTTCAGTGTACAGTCAAGGCAAAATGCAAATGGGTCCTGAGAGGAGGCTCTCTAAAGAGGCAGCTGTGAGCAAACATGTAGAGTTTCAAGGGGTGGAGATTTTATGGCTGCAAAAAGCTGAGGAGCAGAGAAAGAAGAAGCAGTTGCTGCTGGAGACTGTGTCTGTGGAGAGGAAGGCGTTCCCCAAAACATCCGGCCACCCTGTGCCACTGATGGTCTCCCCAGGCTTGGTCTCCTCGCCAGACAATGCTTGGAACGAAGTCTGTGAGGACCTGAGGGTGGGACCTGCTGCCTCTGGAGCCACTCCACTGGCGCTGCTCGATGACAGCGGGGAGGATGAAGTTTTTGTGAAGGACAAGAAGAACCGTGGTGAGGAGGAGACGGCTGTGCTAACGAGAGGCCAGGGAAGGTGAGATGGCGCGTGGGGTAGCGCAGGGGTCAGATTGAATTTCTCTCATCCCAAGCATGGGACTTGTGCCTACTGCTTCAGGAGCTAATGACAAGCAACCAATGTTTGCCTGCTGCCTGCGGGGTGGTGGCAATGGCAGCAGTTCGTGCCTGGTGGTGGCTGGTGCATGGAGTTGGGACCAAACCTCGTCCACACCACCTTGCTGAAGTTTGAAGCCCATCAAAGATTTGGAAATGTAAAAATGTCTCTTGCTGTTTGCAGAGTAATGGCTGTGTGATGAAGCACCTGCAGCAGGTGTAGTTGGGATCCGGATGGGGTATGTGATTAAATATAGGCAGCAGGCAGGCCTGGCCATATGCGCCTGGCCAGATTTTCTGGTTTCCCGCACAGCCTGTGCAAAAACGACGCGAGCACCTCTGAGAGATGGGATAATAAAGATGTTTCACCCAGGGCCTTGTACCTTATAAGAGGGTGAATGCTATGATGTGCTTTCTATATTATCTATCTGTGTTTATATAATTTTAGCTATGTATATCGCAAAAATTGCACACTGCTTTTTACAAGAGCACCCCGATTTGCTCACTTTTCTTTCCCATTCACATCTTTGACAAAGCAAAGGGTCCCACCAGTGTGCTCCGAGCAAACCGTGCCTGCTCTGAGATGGCGGGGTGTTTGCTGCTGGAACGACAGGATCTGAGCGAGTGAGGTGCTCCTGCCTCTGCACCTCAGGATCTGCGGAGCTTTGCTTTGGCTGGCATGTGGGATCACTTGGTTGGGCAGCCCTGACACCCGGCACGTGCTATAAGTAGCCCCACGGTATTTGGTGCGGCAGAGAAGAAAACTCTCCACAGGGGGATGCGACACCTTCCCCTGTGCACCCCCAAGCTGGCCAAGTCTTCTCTGTTCAAATCTGGTTCTCAGGCTCTGGATTTTTAATTGCATTTGCTTCTTCTTGTGTTTTGGAGGGATTTCCTCCAACCTTTTGCCGAAGACCCCAGCCCTTACGACTGCAGAGCGAACAAACTGTCCCCCGGAGGCAGAGGCTCCACCTGGGTGCACATGTCCGACCATGGCAATGGTGCTGGCAAAGACCTCGTGTTTGTGAGGGCTCTTCTCCTTTGCACACAAGCAGCTGATGTTATCTTTTAGGCAATATTAGGCTTTCCCTCCGCCCCCCTCTTTTACCCAGAGGACTGTTTCCTTTTATGTCCCCAGAGAGGGAGATGATGCCAGTCATGAACAGAGGTGGTGCAAGGAGAAGCTGGCATTTTAGCTGCAGTGTCCTCTCCTGCACGAAGCTATGTTGACCTTTCTGTTCGTAAAGGTGGAAGGTGAGGAGGTTCACCCAGAGGTCTAGACCTTGCCCCTGAGCTGAAATGAGCTGTTTCTGATTAATTTACAGGATGATGGAGGAGGGGGAAGCAGCCACGGCAGGATATGAAGATGTCCTTGGGCAGAGGCACTCCGACATCTCCACTGATCTGTACAGCTCACAGTTTGAAAACATCCTAGACAATGCATCTTTATACTACAGCGCGGAGTCGCTGGAGACGTTGTACTCGGAGCCCGATAGCTACTTCAGCTTTGAGATGCCACTCACTCCCATGATCCAGCAGCGCATGAAGGAGGGCAGCCAGTTTTTAGATCGAACGTCAGCCCTGGGGCAGCCAGATGTCCTGCAGCTTCCCCCAGATGGGGAGGTGAAGGGCTGCAGTGAAGGCATCACCAATGGTTTAAGGGATGTAAGCGAAACACTCTTCAGAGGAGACGTCACCGAAGTTCCCCGTTTGGAAAGGTAAAAGCAGCGGGTGAACTTTCTGTGTGCCCGCTGATTTTTCCCTGGTGTCTCTTTACTTCAGCAGAGTGTCACAGAGTGTAGTTTTGCCTCTTTCAGCACTGCGTGTTTTCTACACAGAATAATTACCAGCATAACAGAGTGAGCTGCAGGAGAGAAGTGAGACGTCCAAACCTGCTGTTCGTTAGAAAATTGCAAATTTACTTAACGAAGGCTTTGTAGGTGATACTTCTGTTGCTAAAAGGCTAGCCGGTATTGTCACATCCCTGGGACCTGTCCCTGGAGGAGTGTTACTGGTTACGGATGTATGGGTGAACCTTGTTCAGCTGTAGTTATACATGGATTTGTTAGCAGCAGGTTTGGGAACAATAACACCCTGTGCACACGGACGAGTTTTCCAAGCGCAGTTTGTGATTTGGATGTTGAAGGTGTGTTTCTGGGCACGGCTTTTCTTCTCTTGAGGTCAGTGGGAGTTCTGCTGGTGACTTAAGTCAGCTGGGACGAGGTTTTTGCTCCCACCAGATTCCCAGGGTTAGAGACTGTTAGCTGCTGCTTTTGTTTGTGCACTAGTTACTGATTGAGAGAGAGTGTTGCAAAAATGTTGATAATTTCCATTTAGATAAAGGGAGCTATAAGAAAACCTATTAAGAGAAGAGTCATGCGAGAAGCAAAAACTAGGCTAAATGGTCAGAAAATACTGTGTAGTTGTAGAAACTCACTCTATGAGCAAACTTTCCTCATCGAGTGTTGTCAAGGAGGGTGAGGAGAGTGAAAGGCAGCGACAGGCAAAGTGGAGGATCGAGCCAAAAGTAGTAATCTGCGGAGGGGTGAGGGACCTTGTGAGTGACAAAGATGCCTCAGTCTCCATCCTCCAGGGACAGGACGTTGTCTAAGAGTCCTTAGGCTATTCCCTTAGATGGGACTATTCTAGTCTGAGTTTTCCTGGGAGTCAGTAGTGGGATGTCCTTTATGTGTTTTATTCCTTTTGTGCTAGTATGAAAGAAGTCCTTTAAGCAGAAGTAGTTTTGCCAACTTTACGGGTTAAGGTACAGTTTGCCCTTAAAAGAACAGGCAGAAGGACTTACTAGTTTAGAATGTTTTTTTCCATCAATCCTACTGGAAAAAAAGATGTTTAAATCTTGTACAACCCTGAGCCAACAGGCAATAAGTGACTGCTGATCTGCTATGACAGGTATGGAGCGAGAAACTGAGGTCAGTCCTGACACTTGCAGCTCCTTACTTGTACTGAGACCAGAGGTTTCGTAAAACTGGGCAGTGGACGACAGGCACAGCACGTACAGACCCTGATTCTGTTACCCTGTAGTTGCAGCATCTAGTATCTAAAAAGTACTGTCAAGTAAGGCCCACAGCAGCACATCAAGATAGAAATTAACACTAAGACAAGGTGTGCTTAGATAATGCTTAGAGACATGTTAGGTGCTTGTCTAGAGTGGATTTCATTAGGAATTAAGTTAATTTTAGTTTAAATTTGCAGCCATAGTGATAAACCAGAAGGGTATTTTTAAATTATTCTTTTTTTCCCCCGTAATAAAAAAAGAAGAAATGTCCCCAACTGTGGGTTTGTTGAGAAGCTCTGCCATTGTAGTCTGCAGGGCTCTGTTATGAGCCCCGAGGGCTCGCTCTGTTAAGGTAGGTGCCAATAAAAAGTGTAGCTGCAGCAATACAGCCAGCCATGGATGTGCCCAACAGGGTAGTCCTCCGGACAAGAACCATGCTAACCACCCCCCCACCCCCGGTATTCGAATATCATGTTCTATTGCACCAGGGTGCTGGTGACCAGTGGATGATGTGTACTATGTTATTGGGGCTGGCGATGTGAGGGTGATGATTGGCTGTGAGTGAGGAGCACTGCGTGCGTGCTGGGGGCTGCGCGGGATCCATCTGCAGAGGGGTCAAGGTGGTGCGTCACTGTGATGCACAGGTGAGCTGGGAATAGCCGCCTGAGCCATGGGTACCATTTCTGAGAGTTTACATGTGTGGTTGTGGAAGCAATCCCAGACTTGTTTTTTCAACTGAAAGTCCACACATACGATACGTGTTGTGGTAGCCACCGCGGCACCTTTGTGCCTTCTGCTCTAGGTCCTTGTTTCCTACGGTGCCGCAAGCCTGCGCTTGCGTTGGGGCCGTGGTCTCCCATGCACAGCACCTGCCCGCCGCCGCGGAGCACCGAGGGGCACC